AAAACAGATAGATCAATTTCTGGTGAGTCAAAAATGGTGGTGGGGATTGGTTTTGGGCAATCACAACATATTCATAAATTATTGCAGTTTGCTCCTTCATTAGATGTGAACATGTAGTGGTCAAATAAGATGATAACCTTCTCATTAACTACCCCTAATTATTTTAGCTTTATTTTATCTTTCAAAACATGATTATGAAATCTAATATGTTACACAGAGTAATATAAATCTTTCCCTATTTACACAACTCAAAGGCCGCAGTGACTTTTGTTATCTTTATTTTTTAAAAAAGGCCAAGGCAATGTGACTTTTAAACAAAAAAGCAATTTCAGGATGAAATAAAATATATTTGCTTCCAGCAAGAAGGGATTAATTAGGTTTTTCATTATCAGAAAGGGTAAGCTACTCAATCTATAATTTTTAAGTTCAAGTTTCCTCGTAACAGGGAATCGATACGTCATGCTGCACAGAAAAATGAGAAATCAATTTATCAAGCTAAAACCAAGTACCTATATTAACCATTTACATTGAAGAACAATCTAGCCTGAAGAGTAACTATAAATTCTGCATAAAATCAGCTTTGGAGTGAATAGAATAAAACATTCAAGGATTGACAAAAGCAATTGGAAGAGCCAAAAGGTTATCATCCACTTTTGTGATACTCTTGGATATTTTTCAGAAACCAAAGGGTTATATTGCCAGTTTCTCTATCCTCCTCCGTGCTTTCATCACACTGCTAATATTTTGTTGTAGTTTTTACATGTATTTTAGAATCTTTTTCTTCCTGCCAACTTTAGTCAAAGAAGAAGGCACTGATGAGGAGATAACGGGGATGATAACCTATGAAATTCAATCCATGATAAAAATGAATCAAAGAGCTAGAGGAGAAGTTTGAGGTTATTAAAATTCTACCTCTAACCATACTTAGTTTTCTTGTTTTGGTAGTTATATTTTTCTTCTATTTTGATATCTTCTAAGCCATTTTTATGGTGATAATATGAATGGTAGGTATTTCCGCTTTTAAGAGATCCTCTCGATTCAAGAAATATAATCTTGAAGATATATAGTGGTAAATTCGGCTCTGCATCTTAGTTTCAGATTCATCAACTGTGAAAAAGAATTAATAATATGTTGGCTTCATGAGATCTGTGATCCAGATGATAAGAAGGTAGAATATATTTAAGGAAATATCACTCAAGGAGTAAATGCAAAGAATTCATGAGGTTTTTCTTGAATATTGAGAAGCGACCAAAACTAGCTAGGGGTCCGAACACAAGTTAAAGTTACAAGTTTTTTCGTGATTGAGTTCTAGATAATTAATAGCGTTAAATATTGAAATTAAAGGGTTAGATAATATATGAAATACTTGTGGGGCATACACTGTTTGTTCTAAATTTGTTTGCTCCTAATTATTGAGTTAATCTATGTTTTCTCAGAAAGCTTTGCTTTTGGTACAGGAGCTCAGGTTTTCTTTGCTCTTATTCAGCGTGACCGACTCAATAAACATTAGAATCTAGGACTGTCCTGTTGTATATGCTGCATGCTATATTGGAAAAGCGTCAATTGTGTTTTATATTTCTATTAGATGTCAAAATTTAACGCAAGAGTGCTTTTAGAAGTGGTGGATGTTTTTATAAGCTTGTTAGAGTATTCTTCCCCAAATGTTAAAAGTATGTTCGACTATCTATTAGAGTATTTATTTTGCTTGTTTATGAACAATTGGCTGGAAGAAGTGACAAATTTTTATTTCATGTAAAGATCCTTCACTCAAATGCTCAAGATGAGCACCACTAATAGAAAAAGAAAAAAAATTGAGGGATCAAGTTAGGTTTGTAGCAAACAGTAAACCAATATAGACTAGGCGTGCTTGACGAAGGGAGGCTATGAAGCTCAGGCCTTAGGATGAATTCTTCTTGTCTCATTATTGAATTCAAGACCAGCGTATTAATTAAGACCGATAGTGGAGGGAACCATCCATGAATCGCCTCTATTTGGGTATAAGCTCAAAAGTAGATAGACTATAGTAGGTTCATCACTGTGTTAATTAGGCTGCTACTAAAGGTTCTTATGATTTGCTTGAAGGCAATTATTCTTACTATTAATTGGTCGTGCTGATAGGTTCTATTATAGTATGTAACTCTATGTTAGTTTCTCAAAATTGTAGGATACATGATTAGATCTTTTAGAGCACCAAATATTTTCAGTTAGATCTCTTTTTTTCTTTTGCCCTTTTATTTCGTGATAAGGGGGAGGAAGAACATATTCATTACTGGGGTTGATTATCTTTTTCTGTTGAGCATCTTGTTGCCACTATGAGTTTGCTTCGTGTTGCTCCGAAAAATAGGAAATTGAAGATGATATCTTTTGCTTTTGGTCTTCCCTTCCCCTCTCAATTATGCTTTATCAGTTCATCTTAGCACATAATGTAAGGACTTCTAGATAGTACAAGACATGGACAAACTTGTTTGTGAATCTTAAATATACTTTCTTGGCACTGTGGTAGGAGAGAGACTCAAATTTTTGTTTATACTTAGGCCTAGGTAAATTGCACCATTGATATAAGGGGGTGTAAATCTTAGAGGTGTCAGGAGCATAGAGATATGCGAAAAAAGTTTGAAATGTATCGATTAAACAATTATTATCTGATACATGTTAGGAAAGAAAATTTCATTAGTGAATGGGAGATGAAAACTCCTCATTTTCTACTATTCAAGACATATTTGTTAAGCATGATTCATGTATAATATTAGTTTATAAGGTTTGTTGATCATTTCAAAAAATTGTCAGCTGGAAAAAAATTATCATTTCAAATGTGCAGCTAACTCTTAACATATTGGATATACGTGCACCATTTCTCCAAATGATCCAATACTTCCTCTTTCTGACATTCCACCATATATAAGTCAATTACAACATAGTCATATATCATTTCTACAAGCATATATGTTTATCAACGACATACATAATTGGATATCAAACTATTTTTTTGATTCTCAGAGTTTGGGCTTGTGCATAGCATGATCATCAAAATTAGTACCTGTAACCCATGTATCTCATTTCAACTCCACAAACTAATCAGAGTACACTATGAAAAGTTTATCCACTCCTTCCATAAAATTACTAACTTATAGGTTTGGGCCCGGGTTCAGCACGGGCCATTCCACACTAGTCATAAATACAAGGCGTTGCTCATAACTAAGAATGCCATTGGAGTATAGTCCGACATCAATTTGTCGAAAGACACTGCTTCAATTAACATAAATAAACATCAATTTGTGACAAGAAGTAAAGTCTTAGAACCTTTATAGATACAGATCTACATACAAGCCGAGTTGTGATAATTGGTCGATGCAGTTTGCACAAAATTCTGCGTATGCCCCTATTCTAATTGAATAGTTTGATGAAAGCAGCAGGTAGTTGGGCTGTCCAATCTTTTGTTTTCTGCTTTCATCTGCACAATCACTTTCAACAGCAGGCAGATCAAATGAAAGACACTGAGAGTGACTAACTAGTGATGTCTCTCTTCATTTTGTGTGGTCATTCACTCGTGCCAATTTTTTGGTCATTTTTCTGAGAAGAATATTTACATTATCTATCAGAATATGGACTTTATGTTGTATTATTGATGCTAATAAAGTCAAGTGCAATGCATTTATCTCACCTGTCACATTAAGGGTGTTAAAGCTCTATTCCAACCACAGTAGAAGAAAGGTTTCTTGTTGATGTGTAACTATGTAGTCCACAAGAACTTGACGAAAAATCATATGCACAGAATTGCAAGTTAAAGCATCATTTTCCGTGCACATGAAATCTGATTGCAATAGTTTAAATGTTGAAACACATGATGAAAGCAAACAAGATGTTGAATCAATTCCGTAGCAAAAGAAATCTTGTCCTCATACTTTAAAACTTCCAAAAAATTATCCGAGATGGAGCCCAGAAAGCAAGAAAGATTTCAATGTTCAAGATTTAATCAGTACAAGAGGTAGCCTCTATACATAGGCTGAAAATCATGTAATGAATCTTCTAGTCTAGTCTTAACAGATAATAAGCCAAGATAAAAAATTTAGGTGGGGAAGACCCATAGTATACTGCCATTGGACAACAACCAAAGCAAGATTTTCCCATCATGTTCCAAATCACAAAAGGTTCAACTCCTAAGCCCGCTTATTCCGACTAAGTGATCCATTGGCGAAGTACGTCTACTCAGACTGTCACACTGGCAACGAGAGTAGTAACAACATATAGTGGAACAAACTAGCAGCACATAGGCATTCAGTTAGCTCGAAAACGGACTCGTAGTTAGAAATCAGATGCTTCCTCAACAACTATCTTTAGAATATCCTATCTCTCTCTTCAACGCTTTAAAACGAGCTAAAAGGCTTCTCTTAAAGCAGAAAATAGGAATTATAGTAGTTTCAGCTATTCGATTCGAATGAGCGCTCTCACTTCCTTTCCTTACTACGATATGCCCAAAAAAAAAAAAAAAAAAAAGTGCAACATATCAAAGAGGGATGACACAACCTACATAATATATGCGAGCCTTACGTGGACGATTTGGTAGTCTTTTCAAAAGAAAGAACCGACCATCTAATTCAACCTCTACTTCTTAAAAAAAGTGCAAGAGCGTTTGATTTCATCCTTCACCCTATCCTATTTTAACTTCATACGAAACGCCAAAGCACATAGTTGGATTTACCTGCCTAAGCTATGGTAGACAGAGGCTGATACTTGTATTGGTGAAAATAGTAGGTACCCTGTTGAATAGTCGAGGTACGTGAAAGTTGACCCGAACACCACTATTATAATTTTTTTTTTTTAAAAGGAGGAACAATCCAAACTTTTGTTAGTACTTTGTGGGGTTACTTTAACTGTATGTTGAAAACAAAAGTTCAGGGAGTTTATAAAGCTGCAGAGGCTAAATAAGAGAGTCAATTATATTCCATCATACAGATAAGTCACATTTCTTCTTGAATGTCTTTGTTTACTAGTTTGAGGTAATGGAGTCATCTAAACTCACTGGAGGCACAGAAGAATGCAGCAACGAGTCGGGATGGACAATGTATATCGCTTCTCCTATTCATCAATATAATCAAGAAGACTACGATAATGGTGATGAAAGAAATTCGAGGAAGAGAGATAAGTATCTTTACAATGATAATGACGATGATGACAATGAAGATGGCGAGAGTGATGACTCCTTAGTTTCGGATGCCACGTCTGGTCCAGGTCATCAAGAAGTATGCACAAGCATCGATAGAAGTCATGGGAAGCTTCAATTTAAGCATGCAGAAAATGAAACAACGAAGCTTTCAAACAAGGAACACCACGGACAGGTGAAGAAGAAACTGTATGATATAAATATAAAAGCAGCAAAAGAAGATTCAGGACACAAAGCAAAAAGCAGAATAGGTTATGCGTGTAGCAGATCAACATCTAGGAGAAAATATTAGATTTGAGGGGGACACTGAGCCACTATATCTTTTTTTGTTTAGAACTATTACATCAATGAGGTAAGAAAAATAAAATTTTCTAACTCAGTTGACAGGAAGGAATAAGTATAGGATCTTTATATATGGTTTCAGGACACAATAAGTCCGAGTTCTGAAACAAAAATAGTAGATACAGCTAAGTTTCCTCGCAATAAACAAATAAGAAAAGAGGTATGACTACTTCCAGTTACAAATACAAGTCAAAGAGTTCAAATCACATTAGGATGAGCAACTGCAGAAGTCGATACAGTCCTGTTAGAATGTAACTACTTAGTACGATAATTTGAAAATTGAAACGTTTTAAATTAGCATACAAACATTTGCATTCAGTCTGCGTGTACCATCTATTGATTGGAAATTCACAGGGTGACATCAAGAGAGCCACAGCATGGTACAATGATTACAAGAGCGGAATATTAAGATATCTATTACAAAAAATAGAAAACCAATTCATGCTTGAAGTACACGATCTTGGATATGTCCAATAAAAAATAGAAAACCAATTCATGCTTGAAGTACACGATCTTGGATATGTCCAATAAAAAATAGAAAACCAATTCATGCTTGAAGTACACGATCTTGGATATGTCCAATCAATAGAGTCAGTCTCATGGTAGATCCTGGGATCATGAATCACAATCTATGGACAACTGCTTGGAATCTGGTAATGAGTAGAGGCAAATCCACGATTTAAACTCTCTGGGTTCAATCTTTAAGGTTATTAGCACTGAACCCGTTGTGTTTTTAAAGTTAAAAGTTTATATCGACTATTTGTTACAGTTTTAGAATTTTTATACATAAATTTATGCTCCACGCTAAAAGTACTGGGTTCAAATGAACCCCGTAGCAAATGCTGCATCCGTCTCTGGTAATGAGAATTTCAAACACCAAAAAACTTCACGGTTCAATGTTGAACGTGTGCAGAGAAAGCAAAAAGAGACCATAATGCACTTTCCAATTAATTCAAAATAACATTTCACCCTGGGTTGGCTAGGAGGGGGTGAATTGAAGAAAAGAAACAAGGAAACTTGAAACATTTGATACCACTTCAAAACAGATGAAATTTAGGAGTGGCAAAAAGTTTAGGTCTAAAACTCCTTGGCATTAGTTGATCATTATCCTTAGAGAATTTCTTATCCCCATGGATATGATCAAAGAATTATCCTGAAAGATTAAAATCATGACTTGAGACGTCAAGATCTGTCAGTAGGCAAAGGAACTAAAGTCAGTTCCAGCAACAAACAATTAGTTTTAGTGTAAGAGATTAGTATTTAGCAACCTTGTTTCTATGACAAGACACATCATTTAGCTGGTAAAATTTCCCCTAACAACTTGTCCAAGGGAGAGAAGGGAAAAGATACTTTCCTGAGATTTAGTCTCAGCATGAGGAAAGTGAGACAGGAACTTGGAGCATGGCAATTTTCTGAAATAAATGAAAGGATCCTTAGCTGCAGAGAATGACAATCACTATGTATTATGAGAATTATATGAAGGTTCAATTGCCTGTTAATAAAAAACAAAAGGGAAAATTTGCAACACACAGAGCTTTCCTGATTTTGATGACACGAACGGGTGTATGTGACGATTCTCAGGTAATACTCAAAATATTTCAACTGAATCAGATACTAGCAAGCACAACATTTGAAATATGTAAGATGAGGGAAACGAGTAAAATTGACTCAAATAACAAAAGAAAATGAGAAGTGCACATCATCCTAGATTCATATTGCAAAACAAAGAACTGGAGAAAAGGGCGTAAATGAAAGAAAAGGGCCAACGCCTTAAAGATACAAATAGGCTTCACAACAACATAGGTAAAGTTCCAACATTTGAGAGACCAGATGACAACATGATACTACAGAATATAACCTCCCAGATTCAATGACAACACGAACCTTATTCAATTAGGTCAAGTAAAAAGAAAACATCAAAAAACCTCAGTTCTTTGACTGTCTCGCAATCTTGAACCACTCGGTATGGTAAGATCCCGGCACATCAATCCTCTCATATGTATGAGCACCAAAATAATCTCTCTGAGCTTGAACCAAATTGGCAGGAAGTCTTTCCCTCCTGTACGAGTCAAAGTAAGCAAGACTTGAAGACATACCCGGTGTACTAATACCCGAGTTGATAGCAAGGCAGACTACTCTTCGCCAAGCAGACTGTCGTTCAACCATCTCTTTTGCAAATTCTTCATCCACAAGTAGATTAGCAAGATCCGGGTTTCTGTCATAAGCCCCCTTGATCCGATCCAAAAATATAGCACGGATAATACAACCACCCTTCCAAATCCTAGCAAGTTCCCCTAGTTTCAAATCCCATCCCTTTTCAACGCTCTTTGCCCTTATCAAATTCATGCCCTGAGCATAGCTACATATTTTGGATGCA